ATCTCACTTTTACTTCTCTTTTTAAATTATTTATAGTTTTGACTTTTAGAGAAATCATGTAATATTTAATATTCTATGTCTGATTTATGTCATTTAGCAGTATAGTTTCAAGGTCAATCTATTTTCTAAAACATATCTCAAATTTATCCATCTTTATGTCTGAGTAGTACTCCATTATGCAAATATGTTGCATTTTCATTATCTATTTAAAGGGGAACACTGAATCCCCGTTCATCTCTATACTACTGTATCCATTCATTTCTATACTATTTTTTTTAACCAAAGAGCATATTTTTCAAAGCAATTCATTTTAGATTGCTGAATGATCTTGATGACACTTAATATAAGGAAATTTATTTTTCATTTGAAAGTAAATCATAAGATACTCATTACTAAGGACATTTTATGTATGGTTTGAAGTTTGGAAATAGTATTTTCATTTAAATAAAAGTAAATTAGATCAGCCATAAACTCTCAGTGCTTAACACCTAGGTTAATGGCATTGAAAAGCTTTTGAATTAGATAGACTTCAGGCTTCATTCTCATGAATAACAAGTTCAAATTCTCTGTTGTACATTTTCCTGATAGGAAAAATAAGGATATCAACATACCTGCCTTGTGATATTACTGTTCAGATTAACTGAGACATTTTATATAAAATGCACAGAATAGAGTCAAAACTTAATGAATGTCTTCTTGTCTGGACCTCATGAATTTGGATCATTGTGTGATCATTCCTCCAAATTTATTTTGTTTTTTGGTACCGGGGATCAAACTCGGGACCTTGCGCTTGTGAGGCAGGAGGTAGAATCACTGAACTAAATCCCTGGCCCATTCCTCCAAATTATTAGATGAACATTTTAAATATTTATTTCTAGAAATTTTCATTGTCTTCATTAAGGATTATATTGACTCCATAGACATGCAATTGCCATCCCAGAAAGTTCACAAACATATAATATTTTTGGCCTGGGTATTTAGCCAACACTTAATAAGATATGTATGCATTCTGACTTTATATCCTGTGTTTGTGTGCATGTGTGTGTATACACTGTTTGAATAAATGGCATAATTTTTTTCCACAAAAAGACCAAAGATGTAAATGTTATCTTCTAAAACCACTTTGCTTAAAATGAAGGCTGAAGTTGTTTATTTTTCACCATGCCAATCAACACTACCCACTGAGGACCCCTATTGTGTATTTTACAAGATATGCCAGGGTTGTAATCATGATGCCTGGTTAACAAACATTCTTGAACTGAATATCCAAATAAATCAATCCAAATTAATAACTACGAATATTTATCAGGCATGTATTATGCATTATGTATTATTCTTTACATGTATTCACTTGTCTTAAATGGTGTAGGTCTTAAACTTATATCCATTTTGAAGAGATTAATTTGTTCAAAGTCACAAAATTAGTAAGTGATGAATACAGGATTTAAAGACAGGTGTTCTGAAAACTGATTCTGAACCCACGATTTATGCCATCTTGTTACTGAAATAGTTATATATGAAAACATTCAACAAATATCCATCGTGCCATTATTGTTTCTGCATTTTAGGGAAAGTTTGTTGCAGAGTTGTCCTCTGGATCATCCCACTTCATCATTCAAGGCCGATGAGTATGTGAAGGCTAGAACTCTATGATTCAGTGGTCCCTTCCAATTCTAACAAAATATGGTAACACTGAAATGTGTGTTCTTAATGAAGACTCTTGGAGAATTTGGGAACTTTAACAAACAGCTTTTGTTAAAGAATAATTCAGATGGTTCATAAACTTTCTTTCGAAACTCTACCTTTTTACTTATTTCTCACAAGCTCAATGTAGTCAAAGCCAGAAATTAATAAGGATCATTTGCAATGTAAACAATGACATGACAGACAACACAAAAGGAAAAGAACTTTAACATTGTGAGGATAATGCTTAAGCAGAACCAAAAATCCTAAAGAAATGACCAGAACATGTTGAAATATTAAATATGTAGACTTTTAAATAACAGTTAGTTAATTTATTCTAAATTTCTGGTAGAGGCAATATCTTATGAATACTTTATGAAAAGTCTAGTTGAAAACAATTCACCCCTTTGAAAAGCCTAAGGAATCGATCAAAATTTTCTCATTTTGAGAAAATGTCTCAATTTCCTCATTTAAAAATGGGAATGAAAATAATGATCTTAAAACATTTGGAAGATTACCAGGTGTGATGATGCATGCCTGTAGTAGAAGCACTCAGGAACCTGTGGCAGGAGGATTACCCAGAAGTTCGAGGCCAGTCTGGGCTACTTAGTGAGTTCAGGGCCAGCCTGAACTACAGCCTGAGCTAGTAAAATCCTGTTTTAAAAAACAATATATATATATATATATATATATATATATATATATATATATATATATATATATATATATGGAGGATTAAATGTAATGAATGCTTTACATGAATTGCCTAACCCATGGAAAATAATACATGGCATCAATACATGGTAATTCAATACTCCTCTTTAAAATTTTCATGTCAACACTGGATAATACCACTATAATTTCCTTCACTCTTTTCAATCTAAGGTCAAGAAGGAAAAAAAAACTCACAGAATTGTGAGACTGTACAATTGGAATTATTTTCCTGATTGCTTTCCTAATCCATTATCTGTACATAGTAAAGCTATTGATTTTTAAATGTTAATTGTGTATCCTGGTATATTGCTGAATTTATCAGCTTCCAGAGTCTTTTGGTACAGTCCTTTGTGTCTTCTAAGTATAGGATCATGTCATCTGCAAATAAAGATAATTTGATTTCTTCCTTTCCTATCTGTATCCCTTTTATTTTTTCTCTTGCCTAATTATCCTAGGTAAAATTTTAAGAACTATCCTGCATAAGAGAGAGGATTCCATTTACAATAGCTTCAAATAAAATAAAACACTTAGGGATCAATATAATCAAAGAGTTTTAAGATATCTGCAATGAAAACTTCAGAACATTGGAGAAAGAAAATAAAGAAGACACCAGAAGACAGAAAAAACTATTTTCATGGATTGGCAGAATCAATATTGCCAAAATTGTTATATTACCAGAACTGATTTATATATTCAACAAGTCTCCATCAAAATACCAATGAGATTTTTCACAGAACTGACAAAAACAATCTTAAAATTCATGTGAAAGCACAAAAGATCTAGAATACCAAAGCAATCCTAAGCAAAAAGAGCAAGGCTAGCACCATCACAATACCTGGATTTAAATTATACTACAAAGACTCAATAATGAAAACAGCATGGTACTGGAACAAAAATAAACATGTACACTAATGAAATATAATAGCAGATACAGAAAGAAACTCACATAACAATCACCATCTGATTCTAGACAAAGGAGCCAAAAAGATACGTTGGAGAAAGATAGCCACCTTAATAAATGGTGTTGGGAAACTGGATATGCACTTAGAAGAATAAAACTAGATCACTCTCTCTCATCTCATACAAAAATCAATTCAAAGTGGATCAAAAACCTAGGTATAAGACCTGAAATTTTGAAACTGCTAAAAGAACACACAGGAGGAAACACTTGTCACCATGGGCACAGGCAAAGACTTCATGACTAGGACTCAATAGCTCAGGAAATAGCAAGATTAACAAATGAGATTACATCAAATTAAAGTTTCTTTATAGAAAGGGAGAGAACTTGCAAAGTGAAAGTTAACCTATAGAAAGGGAGAAAATATTTACCAGCTACTCTTCCAAGAGAGGATTAATATCTTGAGTACTAACAAACCTTAATACCAAAAAAAGCTCAATCAATACATGGGGAAATGAATTGAACATACACTTCTTGAAAGAAGAAGTACAAACAGCCAATAACTATATGGGAAGAATATATGCTTAACATTTTAAATTAAATCTACATTGAGATTCCATCTCACCCCAGTGGAATGGCTATCATCAAGAACATTAAAAACAATAAGGAACCTTTCTACCCTGCTGATGGAAATGTAAATTAATACATCCACTCTGGAAATCAGTATGGAGGTTCCTCAAAAAATTAAAAATAGATCTAACATTTCATTCAGCTATTCCATGCCTTGATATACCTCTGAAACAATTAAAGTCAACATACTATAGGGATACCTAAATATCGTGATTATTGTAGCACAATTCACAATAGCCAAGATATGGAACCAGCCCAGGTGTCCATCAAGAGATTAATAGATAAGGAAAATGTGGTATATATTTACAATAAAGTATTACTCAGCCATAGGGAAAAATGAAATTTTGTTATTTGCATGAAAATGCATGGATCTAGAGACCATCATTTTGAACAGAATAAGCCAGATTCCAAAACACACAAATGTCACATGTTCTTCCTAATATGTGAAATCTAAATAAATAAATAACAAGAAGGTAAAAAAGTGATTATTATTAGATCGGACAGAATAAGAGGAAGGGAGAGGTGGTTAAGGGTGAGTAATGAGGAGATGGACATGAGAAAAATATGTTACATGCATTGAAACCCCCATAAAATATGAAACTAGGGAGAAAGCAAGGAAATGGGTAGTAGGGATGAAAATGATTACAGTCTATTATGTATATGTATAAGTCTGCAAACTGAAACCCATTGATCTGTATAACCAATTAAAAAACAAAACAAAAACATCTAAAATAAATGTACAGACAAATCTCACTATATGTTCTCTGAAATTGTAGGAATTCGGGTTAAGGATGATGTAAACTGAAGAAGCTATGAATGAATAAAGAAATCTAAGCAACAAACACATGAGAAGCACTATTCATTGAATAATAGTAAAATCAATGATTAGAAATCTTGAAATTATACAACTTAATTCAAACTAACAAGTACTTTATCTTTAACTTTTGTATACATTTTCCCTCAATATTCACAAATATGAGGATCTATAAACAGGAATTTGTTCTTTTATGACTGCCTACCAATGCATTCTGCATGACTGCAATTGATTGGAAAAATACAAATACATATTACTTACTGTATGTGATGCTTGGCAATTTTAAAATAGTTTGAAAACATCCATCCTCAAAGTACTCCTACAAAACGCATCTGTGGAAGAAGAAAAAATATCAAAAAGAGTAAGCAATTTACCAAGGTCACAGAAAAAACTAATCCAGATCAACAAACATTTAGACATTGTATACTTTAACAAACTAAAAAAAAAAAAGAAAGGTTTACAAAATAAAGATTATACATCTATCAAAGTATAATGGGCTGATGAACAGAAATATCCCCAATTATATGCAAATATCCTAAACACCAGTCTAGGATAACATTCATAAGTAAAACATAAGAAAAGTCTACACATTGGTTTCACAATTATTTGTAAATACACAGTACCCAAAGAATATCAGTGGAACAACATAAAAGCAATTCAAACACATGGCAGGCTTATAGGTAAATTTAGTTGATTTGAGGTGATTATTCAAACATTACAAGTGTTTAAAATGTCCTTTTGTCTTACAGATGAAGATCAGAGTTGGAAGAGAATTTGTCTTGATTTATCTAAAGAATTGCACCAATACACCTTATAATTGCATTTCATTTCTAATTGAAACCATGCACTCGGAGAAATGCAGCCATACTGCTTATACACCTCATCCAAATACACAAACTGATCGAGTCTCTGTTTTCCACAAAGTCAATGTGAGTATAGGAGAAAGTGATTCAATAGGGCTTTTTAAATTAATTTGTTCCTTTTAAAGGACAAGAATTGGAAGAATACATAACCTATGAAGCTCAAAAGATTTCAACTAAAATGGATTTTATGCTATACTGTTGCTTTGTTCAAAAGAAAAAAATGCAACTTAATGAAAATAACATGTAACCCTTTAAACTACAGTTATTTCAGACAAATTAGACACACTATAGACAATAAAATAAAAATTCCCTAAGTAGTAAATTTACTTAGAGGAATATTATTTCTCAGTGACCAACTGAATTTCTGCCCAGAGAGAATTAGGGCTTTCTTGTGCTAAGCAGAAATACTAGTTTATTAATATAAGGAGCTTGTGGTTTTGTGTTCAACAATACCTATTATAACCAAATAAACAGTCCAAGATTCAAACAAGCATCTTTAGTAGGTCTAATTTATCTTCCTCAAGTGAGGGGAAGACACTGGCAGCATTTGTCTCTAACTGGCCCATGAGTGAATGATTATACTGCCCCTCTACACAGAGTCTTCCAAACAAGAGGAAACCAAGTATACCAAGCAAGCCTAGAGCTAAATGGCAAAAATAAATCAAGAAATTCCCTAGAAACTAGATATTTTGATAAATCTCATTTTTCTAAGTTTAAAACTTAGAATGTAATAGGAGAAACAAATTCGTCTTCACATATATTTTCCATAGAATTATTAAATTGCAGCAATTATCAGATCTGTTTACTTCCTCGTGTATTAACATATTCATTCTCAAACACAAGAGGACTGACTTGAATACTGATCATGTAACATTCCCACCTTGGCACAGCCAATAGAACCTCAGCCTGGGTTCAGAACCAGTTTTTCTGACCAGGGCTTCATCTTATAAAAACACTGCTGTGTAGCTTAGAGCCAAGGTTACAGGCTAGGGGCATAAAAAAACAAATCTAGCCTATGAAATTTTCATGGAATCAGAAAAACAATCTTAAAATGTGTAGGGAACCACCAAAAAAAGCAAAAGCAGAGGTCTGTGTCCGCCCTACCAAGGTCCTGAGTCACGAGGAAGATGCCAAATCACCCCACTGCAGACAGGGGGGTCTGCCCACACCCTACCGAGGTCCCCAGTCCCATGGAACATGGTGAATCAGCCCGCTGCAGACAGGCAGGTCTGTGCACGCCCTACCCAGGTCCTGAGTCACGCGGAAGACACCGAATCACCCCACTGCAGACAGGCAGCCACCTGATTCCACATTACCAAGGTGCAAAGGACACCAGATCACCAGACAAACGTACTGAGTCCCACTGTTCCCGGCCCAGAGGTAGGGGCTTCTGAGCCGTCGTCCCACTGCTCCTGGTCCAGAGGAAGGGGCTTCCTGGTCATCATCCCTCCTGCTGCTCCCAGCCCAGAGGAAAGGGCTTTTGGGCCACCTTCTTTCCCACTGCTCTTGGCCCAGAAAAAGGGGCTTC